TGATCGTCAACTCGTCGGCTCATGACACAACTTTGCTTACACATGTACCTAAGCTTGATGCCTTAGCCCTCATATTTGATATGTTTGTTTGAAGGTTTTTACCAGACTTCTTCTAATGACCATTATAAATAACTTATGGAAAATTGGACTATGATTGAGGCTTAAGTGTGTGAGGCATGGTGTGAGTTACAGAGAACGGTAAAGTTGACCACATTGGTGTATGGCAATGTGGCGTTCGTCTGTGTCTGTGTTTTATACATGTTAGTGTCTTGGAGTCTGTGTACAAGCCTTAATTTGGAGGCAGTGAGAATGACAACCATGTATCGCACGAGCTGTACACCTGATGTGTTTATGTCTCTCTTTCTTTACTTCACCTCGAGCTCTGATTTGATATATGAGGATTGAGATGCTTGATTATTTCGCTTACTGACTTTGCTTGTTAATTTTTATAGTTGGATGTTGGAGTCCGTGACAACCGTCAAAGTCAAACTCCTTGACTTCTCTCCGGACCCCGGATGATAGAGCTGATCTCCGGGGCAATAAGAGACGATTGCCACCACAAGTATGAACCTGTGTACCATCCACTCTCCGCAAGGTGCAGAAGAGGGTGTGGGTCTCAACCGCACTTGGCGGTTGTCTAGCGTCGAGAGATTTAACCCCTCAAGGCGCGTGTCAGCTGACACTTGAGTGTCGAATGCGACCCTCGAGATTAGCGAGGGCCGCATGAGTATGGGTACTACATAGTACGCCACCATTGCGACTGCTTGCGTAGTTATGCAATGCTGGTCAATATGAGAAGGCCCTGCGTCCACGCGGTTTTATACTAAGTCTAACGCGCGACGCTCATCCGATTTCCGCATCGGAGAGTTATGGGATGACTACAGAAGGGACTAAGAGTGTTGTTGTGTTGTTTGTTTTGTGTCGTTCTGTATGTGTGAGTGTTGTGGTGTAACACATGGTAAGTGAGATGCGTCATAGTCGACCGACGACGAATCGCGCTTGGGACTTCAGCCCCCCAGTCACGAAGTGATGAACGACTCGGAGCGGAGTTGCTCTGTCCGTGCCTCCGAGCAAGGAACGCAGGATTCCGCTATTGCTGAGCCGACGTGCGACGTGCTTTAGCAGGTTGCTCGCTACTGGTTGCTGCTGCAACTTCGAGATTTTGCGAACGAAGGTGATCATCGCCATGGCTGGTATGGACGAGGGCAGCCGGGTTCGGCCTTCGATCTCTTTGGGATGCGCCTCGATGGGGACAACGGAGCATCTCTTGAACAACACAGTGGAGGTGTCCGGCACGAAGTCGGAGGTCAAGGACTAGGCGACCCAATTGGCGCAGTGGGGACCATGGATTTCGCAGCAGATCTCATGCCATCCGGAGTTAACCATGGCCATCAGAAGCGCATGGTCGTTGATGCACCGACCCAACAAATGTCGCACGCACAGGCGCCCCACCAAGTGTCGTATGCACATCTGCTGGTCGGAGAAGACAGCCACCTAAGTCGGCGTCCATGTGTGACGAGCGACACATTCTCGGGCCCGCAGTGGCCAAGTGGATCATTTGGCAGCCCGTCGACGGACAGCTTCGTGAGCGGGCATGACGATGCTCTCCTAGCTGGGCTGCAGGGCGGTGCCATTCCTCCGACGATCGCTGCGGCCATCACCCGCTTGGCAGCTCAAAGTGCTGGTGCGAGGTTCGAATCCTAGTCGACAACTTCCAGCGTAACGCGGGGAGGTGTGTCCAACCTGCCGTGTTCGCAGGGTAGCGACCTCCAAGTGGATGGAGCCACATTCCAGAATGGCACCCTGTCAAGGCACTCCTAAGGTGGAGCATACAACAATGCCGTCCAGATTGTGTCAAGAACGCCACCTCCGCCCGTTGCATCCCCTAATCCTCCATCACCACCCGCCTTGCGTTCGCCGGAGCAGCCAGCGGATGGCAATCGGCCTGCGGTAGCATCAGCACCTGCAAAGACTGGCGGCGGCTCATCCTGTTCGACCAGGGGGAAATCGAATTTGAAGGCGGGGAGATCCGATACGAAGCAGAGGAAGTAGCGAGATTATGGCGGTCATGACAGCGTGGCGCCCGAACGGGTGTCCGCTGCAGGCGCTGGGGACTGTGCAAACGGACAATCCTCTTCGCCACCAGAAAGGGGTGGAAGGAACTGCTGCACAGAAGAGGAGCTACTGGCTTTAATGCATTGCAAGAGAGAATACGACATGAAGTCGGAACTGCGCAACGGCTTCACTACCGAGAAGTTTAAATCTAGGGAGGAGAGAGATGGTTACCCAGCGCCGAAAAGTGGGGGTCCCCGTTAACCAATAGTGAGGGAGGAAAGGTGGGGGCTGGTGACAGACAGGTTGCGCGAGAGGGGGTGGATAAGCTGTACGATGTTTGCGCAAGGAAATGGGAGAACATGATGTCTAATTACCGGACTCTGCGCGCATTCCAACGGCGATCAGGCGGGGAGGATTACTTCTAATTGACGACGAAGGAGAGGCAAGTAAAGAGGGTGAGATTCGTGTTGAAGCGTGCATGTTATGATCTCCTCCATCCGTTTTATGAACATGACGCTACTGTTGTGGGCACGAACGCAACGGACAGCGGAGTGCCTTTCGTGCCCGAGCAGCAGGCTCCAGAAGAAGGCGTTGATGCGCATAATACTGAAGATGGGCGGGTAGCCAGCTTCCGGTGACGCAAGACGGTGCGGGATGGGAACATCTCGGAGGTCATTTGACCCATTGCTGCAGTGCCTTGCAAGCTGTCGCTGCTCCTGTGCTTGTAGATCGAAGGCACCGAGGAGCCACCCTTCATGGAAAAGCTTGTCGTGAGGCCGTGGTGGTATGATAACGACAGGAGTAAACGTTGCTCTTTTTTTTTTTTTTTTACTGTAGTTGCCAGAACTTATGATGCTCCGGAGTACAACCGAAGCTAGTGTTGCCGCAATGGTTGTTATCTCAAGGATGCGGCATGAGCAAGGCTCCGCCCCGAGCTAGTTCGTGTGAAACAGCACTGTCTGATCCGAGAAGCACTGGACTCTACAGGGAAGAAGAAATACAAATAAAAAGAAATTAAACAATCGACACCGGCCATGGGCGGCTTGAATTTGAAGCTGAAAAAGACAAGCAAAAGAAAAAAAAGAAACAGCAACGAAAACAGCGCAACAATCCTCGAAGCCGAAGCCGTTGGCACCAGCTGCACAAGCGGAAGGGCGAGTACATGTGGACAATCCTGGAGCACGCCCCGGGCTGAATGAGACTACCGTCTTCCCCCGAACACAACGCACGCTCATCACGACCGTATCAGACCTGAATTGCAGCTTGTGTACATTCAAAATGAGGGTGCGATATGTCGGGGGAAGGCTGTGGTGTCTTGCACAACACAGGTCGCGGAAGGGGTATATTAATATGCCACACTTACCGGTTTGACCATGCCAGGCGATCGCCAGTGCAGATGTTTGATAGGTGTCTTCGTACACGGGCACACACACTCACGCACACACAAACACAGAGGGAGAGGGATGGGCAGGGTGCTGGAGTCGGTGTTGGCCATGGAGGAGACATTGGATGGAGGCAGAACGGCCAAGCTGTACGAGTTGCAGTACAAGCGCAATCAATTTGGGGGGAGGGAGGTGGACTTCGCGGCCGACGTGACGTCGTACTTTCTGCAGCATTTCCAAGTGGAGATAGATGACGAGTTGGCATTGACGTTGGTCATGGTGGTGGGGTTTTGCCACAAGGAGGTTGCCCAATGTGTCATGTATGCAGCCAAAGTCGGCGACACCATTCCCGACGAGCCTTCTGCGGAAAACGCTGATGTCGTCGCTCATATTGCTCGGGCACTCGCTCAAGGTGTCGCAGGAAGTACAGGAGGCGGCTGTTCCTCCAACCATGGTGGGCACTCTTATGCGACCCCCCGCTGTCAGGACGATCACATCTGATGGGGGAGCTGCGTGACATGCTATGAGGCGCTTTTGCTACATGGATGTGTATGGACATGCTTGCATGTACACACACACACACACACAGAGAGAGAGAGAGAGAGAGAGAGAGAGAGAGAGAGAGAGAGAGAGAGAGAGAGAGAGAGAGAGAGAGAGAGAGANAGAGAGAGAGAGAGAGAGAGAGAGAGAGAGAGAGAGAGAGAGAGAGAGAGAGAGAGAGAGAGAGAGAGAGAGAGAGAGAGTTCAGTAATGTTCATTGATATCACTGCCCCTCAGTAGCTTCAAAGTGATTCGTTTTTACGCGGTTGTTGCCAGTGAAGTTTGAACTGAGGATTGCTTCCTTAACCCTCCCTCATTCTTCTTATTGTCCCTTCCTACTGCCCAATCATGCCCCGATTCCCTTTCTATGGTTTTGCAGAATGACGAGTTTGATTTCTGTGAGTCCGTTATGGTCAGAGCACTGTTGAGTAAGGAGCTTTGCCACGCTTTTTTTTTTTTTTTTCGCGGCACACTCAGTCTGAGTCCGATCGCCTGAAGGGGGGCCTTGCTTCTTCATATGGAAAACCGGCGAAGACGGGCTAGTGTTGCCGTGGAATCCCGCTGGGATGTCAAAAACAAATAACACTTATCATGGAGCATTTTTTTTTTCTTTACTTTTCTTTTTTCCTGGGAGGCGTAGTAGTCATTGCCCTGTTTTTCTGTCTAGTTGGGAAGGCAAGATTTCGTAAAGAAAGTCAAAATTCAAACAAAGAACAAATAGGGTCAGCTGCATATATCAAAGAGAAAGCTGTGTGTCGTTAAGAACTGATGAATCCATTAAATCTCGGTCGGCAGGTACACTCACAGGAAAAACAAATTTCCCCCATCCGGCAGTGCTGGGAAAAATGTGGATGGGGAAAATGATTAAAAATAACCTGCAATAGACACCACAGTGCCCAGGCTCGGAATAACTTCGATCTAATCCAAATGTCCCGAGCATACCTCTCTCTCTCTCTCTCTCTCTCTCTCTCTCTCTCTCTCTCTCTCTCTCTCTCTCCACATATCCCTCTATGCTCACCCCCGTCAATGGGGCCCTTGCTACACTTCATGCTCCCTCTCCCGCTCCCTCACGTGCCATGCGACTTGTGCACGAAGGCCATCACGGACACGTCGACCCGCAGCCCTCGCAACCTGTGCTGGGTGGGGGTGGCTGCCGGTCGTCCTCGCCGCGTTCATTGAGTGCAGGGTCTATCTGAACTCCTGCACTGATCAGGAGGTTGTGTATCACACACGCCGCCCGGAACTGGAGAGCCATGGAGGCAATATGCGGCTTGTGAGTTCGCAAGAAGAGCCGCCACATGCTTTTGAGCCGTCCAAAAGCTCTCTCAACGCACCCCCTGCAAGCCTTCTGCCTATCGTTGAACAGTTTCGTATCACTCCCCTCCTCCTGCGGGCCGCCATAGGGCACCACTAGCCATGGCAGTGTCGGGTATCCGTTGTCCCCAAGCAGGTACCCTCGTGTTTCGACCCCTGTTGGCAGGACAAACGAATCCGACCTGAACACCTGCCCACCTTCAGCCCTCTGCCATAGCGAGGAGTTGAGCAGGACCCTGGCGTCGTGCACGCAACCTGGCCAGCTGGCATAGATATCGTAGAACCGCAAATCTGTACCGACCATGACCTGTGCAACTATGGAGAATTGCCTATGCCGGTCGCAATACGGATGGCCCGGCTCTCCGGCCGGCTTGTCGATGTACAAATGCGTACAATCGATAGCCCCGTAGCAACAGGGAAACACCTTATGTTCAAACTTCGCGAGAGCCTCCACGAGACGCTGCCCCGTGGGGAATGATATCTCGTTGGGATACGCCCTCAAAATAGCGATGGTGATGTCCCGCACAGCTACGCGGCCCGTCTCCCGGCCAATCCCAAAGGATGCAGCAGAGTGTTCATAACTTTGGCCCATCGCCCACCTGTAGAGGGTGTATGCCACGAGCTGATCGGGCGGGACAGACGTGCAGTATCGGGTGTGTTGCCGCTCCAGATGTGGCTGCACCATCGCTACTATCCCTCTGAATTCACCCTCCCCCATTCGAATGTTGTCAAAGAAGTAATCTTCCGTGGCGTTATCTCCCCGGGTCATGTTCCTCCACGCACCACCGGACCTCTGCCTCACCCACCATCGCCGCCGACTGGGCAAAACAGCAATGAACAACAGCAGCTCATGTTCCTCCATGCACCACCGGACCTCTGCCTCCCTCACCCACCATCGCCACCGACTGGGCAAAACAGCAATGAACAACAGCAGCGCAAACAACGCCACGGCGGAGGACTCGATTGTACTCCTAAGTTCCACGGCTGCAGGGTGATGGTTCGCCCTCTGATCCTGGAGGAGTAGCACCACCTGCTGCCTGATGCGATCCAGGCCAGCCTGGTGTTGTATGATGGGCCTGATGGCGATTGACCACGGCTGCAATGGCGGCTCCGCATCGTCGACGACGTTCAACTTCTTGTTGCCTTCTTCAGGGGCTGTCCATGGAGGGAAACGTGGACGGGATGTGATGCACTAGCCGGACGCCTGCACAATCTGGCCAGCAGCAGCGTTACAGTGGAGTGCCACAACGTAACAGACGCGGGTGCACCTGGCCATGTTACAGCGGGGAGTTCATTCTCATTTTGCACATTTCGGGGGTGTGTTGTCGCACCGCCATATGCCTCGCGGAAAGAACGCGTTCTTCTTTCTGCCGCCACCCGCGCATGTACCAGCCATGTGGACACCTCTGGGACACGAAGCGGTGCATGGAAAGTCCCGCCCCACCAGTTTGTGGAGCGGCCTCACCGCCACACTGCGCTCTCCAAAAATGTCGAGCCTCGTCTGATGAATTGGAGACTGCTCCCCTGGAAGAGCGCAGTGTGGCGACAAGCCCTCTCGAGCGTTTTTTTCACATCTCCCGCATTCGAGAGTGCTCCCAAACGTTTTTGCGTTTTCGGGATAGGTGTGGCGAGGCCCCAACTTTGTTGAGAAAAAAAAAGTTGAAGGATTTGGGCCTCGCGCTGTGTGACCACATGAGGCACCATTTTGGCAATGGCCAGAAAGTCCGGCTGGTGTCTTTTGTGATTTGCTGCTCCTATACGGGGTGGCATTTCAGCAAAATGGGTATAGCAAAATTCACAGATTTTCCTGCTATGCCACCGCTGTGTGAGTACGCCCGAAGATCATTCTGAATCTCCTGCAGCCGGTCAGCTCAATGATGATATCTACAGGCCAATCCTCGAAAATCGCAAGGGTGCTGGCGGGCAATCTGAAAGGCACCCACACGCCACAGGAAACAATAACGAAACAAGAGCATCTGCCCACAAAAGGTGACAGAGTACATTCATTACTATTTATAGCAAGCGGATGAAGCTGTTCATTTTCTGTGGAATGTGGGCCTCGCCACACCACTCCCGGATGATCCTGGAATGGAAAATTTCCAGGAGTGCTCTCGGAGAGAAAATCCTATTCGGGAGTGCCCTTCGCCACACTCCACTCCCGAACCGGGTTCTCTTGGAATTCGAAAATGGCAGTTGCTGCTTGCTGCCAATTTTAGTGACAGTTGCTGCTTGCTGCCAATTTCAGTGACAGTTGCTGCTTGCTGCCAATTTCAGTGTGGTGTTTCCGACACAAGTTTATTGTCCCATCCAGTTCCACTCCCGAATCTCTGATGGATCTCAGTGGTCGGGCAGGAGGTTTCTCGGAAACGAAGCACTTCAGGCGGGAGGCCCCGGGGAGTGCTCTTGGGCCCTACATGCTGAGAGCTCCTGAGTTCAGGTCGGGAGTACGCACCTGGTTGCACTTACTCGCCAAACTTGGTGAATGAAAAATATGTCAGACTGCTCGCCACACCGTCGACACAAGTTGTGGCGAGTGTTTTCAGTTTCCCCGCCTGTGCACGGCGGTTTGTGGAGGGTGGTCCTCGGACCTGTCCACTTGATGTAGCTCAGTGGTTAGAGCACCGGTTGGAAATGAGCATTGTGGTATAAGGTTGTGGGTTCAAAACCCCGCAGCCTTGTGCATGGACACCGGCAGGGCGTTAGATTGACACACGGCTGGACACATACCCCCTTGGGCTGACGCATGGTACTAATACAGACACTGCCTACGCACCACCCAAGGGTTGTCCACGGTGTTGTATGTTGGTTCTTGGTTCCGCAGGGGTTACTTGGGAGTGTTGGTCTTGGGTGTTCTGTTGATCTGCCCAGTCTGGCATATCACACGTTCGTGCCATTTCCGATAGTTGTTCATACGGTAGAGTCATTTGATGACATGTTACAAGGTCACGGGTTCGAGCTTGGTTCAGACCTTGGGGGGGGTCCTTGTCCAGCTTGCCCCGTTCTCTCCTCGATATACACACACAATGCTGTTTGTACATCTCGATACATAGATTTACAGAGCACACACAGCCTTCGGGCGTACACATAGCTTGCAAATTACACATCGCCTACAGGCTACATACACAAATTTCCACACACGATGCTTTGTACATCTCGATACATAGATTCACAGAGCATACACAGCCACTACACATCGCCTACGGGCTACATACACAAGTTTCCAGGTGCGTGCATACATACAACTATAATGTTGGGGGTCCAGTCACTGGGTGGGGTCTAGTATCTGCAGTAGGTCCAGGTAGGTTGGATAGGATGCCATTGGGTGTGGTTCCTACTGACATTCGGATAGAACTGTCTGGTGGCTATATATAAGGCTTAGACCCTAAGGGTGAGCGTAGGGACATAAGTCGCTCAGGCCAGTCCGAGTTCCGCCTGGCCTTGGGTAAGCTAGGGGAAGGACGGTAAGACTGCTTCAGTGGGTGCTACCCTGTCTGAACCTAGGGTCCATAGTCTCTTGGGGCCTGTAGTAGATTGCCTGGGCCTGGCATCCGAAGTTCCTGTTCGACAAGGTGTCCGATTCCGCTTTCACCAGGGCTGGGCAAACTATCAGCCCTGGTGCCTATCACTGCTGTTCGGTCCAAGTTGCCTGCCCATTGGTAGGGCAATGGTCCTGAGGGCTGGTCACACTGAGGTAGGATAGTGGGATAGGGGGTGCGCTAGGAGTATTGACGTGAGGATGACCTGGGAGGTGGTCTCATATTCCAGGACACCCGTGGCTCACAGCTCCAGCTGATCACTGTGCACTCAGTGACTGGCCTCTACAACACCCTGGACTTTGAAAAAAAAAACTTTCTGGAGAGTGCACGGCTTCACGAGTCGACATCAGGTAGACAAAAAAAATTAACTTCGCTGTAGAAGTAATATAGTGGCGAGTAGCTGCAACCAGGCCGACACGATTCTCATTCTTTTCACTCTCCATGCATCCGCCACGAATTGTGACGGATGGCGAGTAGTGCAACTAGGCCCTCAATCTGACAAATCGAATCCGGGAGCTGATGTGGCGATGCTGCACTACCGGAAATGCCCATTTCGGGAGTGGTGTGGCGAGGCTCTGCATCTCCCCACAAAAGGTGACAGAATATATAGCAAGCGGATGAAGCTGTTCATTACTGTGGGGAGATGAACCGTTCCATTTCTTGTTTCCTGTGTCATCCACCAATGTCCTCACACCACTGACACACTTCTGACAATCTTCTCCCATAGCAAGGGAAAGATACACCACTACATTGTCTGTCTTTTGCATAGGGTGAGTAGGTGGGGAGATCCCTCCAGGGGTGAGTAGGTGGGGAGATCCCTCCACTATAACCTTCGACAGATTTACAGTCTGTCGCTTTTAACCACTCGGCCACTCTCCCGAAGAATTCAGCATCCTACAGGATTTGAACCTGTGACCTTCAACTTAGAAGGTTGTTGCCTCGCCAAATATGCAAGATTGGAAAGTCGCCCATCTGCTTTCTGTTCTGTGTGAATGACATTCACACTTGTTCGTAGGCAAGCCGCCCACTGGTTAAGTACCGCTTTCTCTGATGGAGACTCTAATCATTATTGGTATGCGCAACGTGCATCCCCGGACTACGAATTCGGGGCTTTTCTTTTGCCAACGTATAATATATATGCTCACGTATATTAAGAAACATTGGTGATTGTTGCCCCCAAGTTGGGGGCAATGCAATTTAAGTAAGAAAAACGGACTACTTTCTTGACTTTATTTAACAGCAAAATAACAACAAATATGTTTGAATTTCAATGTTGTTAAACCACCAGTACCTCGCCCAGCTATGCAGTCCGACCCTCGGGGGACCGGTATGCCGAACCTGCCGAGCCTGGAGGTACCAGTAGCCAGACAGGTCGAGCCTTGAAGAACCAGTTTAAAAAAAAAAAAAAAAAAAAAAAAAACCTCCACCAACAACAACAACAACAACACAACAACGCTAATGACGAGAATGCAGTTGGATACATTACGGGAAGTGGTAGTGAGAGCATCCTCTCAACGAGGGGGTGAGAATCTAGAAAAAAGAAGAAGACAAAAAAA